CAGGGGATTAGGTGTGTAGCATGGGGGCCTTGATAGTGAGAATAGGATTTTGGGGTATATGGGTAGTTCTCTAAATTAGGGTCCCTTTCTAAGCCACCAATATAGTACGGCACCCTTATAAAAAGAGGACCCTAAACTGGGACCCTAATTCAGAGAACTAGCCGTATGATATTTGCGTATACACGGACGAAAAGCGATACTATCAATTACCAATTACCTCAAGCTACCCTAAACCCCAAACCTTAGACCATAAACCCTTAAACCCTAAACTCTAAACCTTAAACCCTAAACCTTAAACCCTGAACCCTAAACCCTAAACCTTAAACCCTAAACTTTGAACCCTAAACCTTAAACCCTAAAACCTAACCCTTAACCCTACTCGAACCTATAGGCTGAAGGATTTCGAACTTGGTGAGGCTACACCTCTCCTGATGCAGGTATAGAGTCAGAAGCCCCATGATGCCACTCCGCACGCTCTATCTACTCTATGCCGGGCAGGCTTTGGGTTTAGGGTTTAGGGTTATTTAAGGGTTTGGAGTTTGTTTTGCCCTCTTGGCGACAAACAACACCCCTATAATCCGCAGCATGAAGTAAGGCGTAAGGTGGTCTGAAGATCAAAGCGGACAGACAGAGTTTGCCTCAGCATTCCGCACACCCCCCCATCCCCCGCCCACGAAACTAGGAAGCACACGTTGATTGTCCGGCGCCCACGGTTGTCGTCGTAGTTCCAGGACACGACCTTCGCCCGACACCCCTTAAACCCTCCAACATTTCCCAACGAACCAAAACGGGCTTGGGGGCTTATCGTTTAGGACATGCGGTTTCGGGTGTTCCTCCAAGCCCCAACCTTCAACTACCCTAAACCCAAAGCCCTATTAAACTTTAAACCCTAAATCCTATTAAACTTTAAACCCTAAACCAGATTAAACTTTAAACCCTAAACCCTATTAAACCTTAAACCCTAAGTCCTATTAAGCCTTAAACCCTAAACCGTCCCCCGAATTCTAAAACACTATCTGGCCTGTGGGGGACAGTACCCTGAAGCCAGTACCCTGGCCCCAAAAAGTTTAAACTTTTCTTTTAGTAGGGGGTGTAATATACCAAAAAGTTTAAAGGTTACCTACTGGGCTCCTAAGAGTACTTCCTTAAACAGGCCTTATTCGACGCCTCGTTCGTGTCAAGGCCTGGTTAGGGGCATTAAGGCCCGGTTTAGGGTTTAGGGTTTAGGGTTTCGGGTTTAGGGTTTAGGGTTTAGGGTTTAGGGTTTAGGGCTTAGGCCGCCCGAAACCCGAAGTAACCCTAAATCCCGAACCCCTCTAAGGCTTGAACACTCCTTTGAACCCCGTAAGTACCACATAAGGCTACAATACTCCAAACACATCTATCAGAAACCTATGCAACCCTGAAGAGAGATACGGGCACTGTCTTCAACGGAAACATCACTGCCTTCCTTGGGGCTTGGGATTTGCACCCTAAACCCTAAACAATAAACCCTAAACCCTAAACCCTAAACCCTAAACCCTAAACCCCTGCCTTCCTTGGGGCTTGGGATTTGCAGTTTTGCGTTTGAGTTCTAACGTTCGGGGTCGCTTGGGGCTTTGGGCTTTTTTGAGGCGGCTTGGGGGCTCATGAATTGAGTGTGGTTCAGGGCTTAAGGTTTAGGGTTTAGGGTTTAGGGTTTAGGGTTTAGGGTTTAGGGTTTGAAGTCTCAAGTATACAACTCATACCCACCGTGGGAACTAATGTCTATAGACAAAGGACCTACGTTTGGAGCCCGCGGTGTCAAAGACATGGATGCTACATATCAAACCCTACACCTCGAACCTATCCTAAACCCTAAACCCTAAACCCTAAACCCTAAACCCTGAAGCCCTCATCCTTTTTTCACGGATCCTGCTTGCGGGCACTTTATCAAGCCAACTTCCCAGTGTTCTACACGAAGTTGTCCTTTAAGCCCTTTGAAAATTATTTACCATCATGGTTCTTTACAAAATAGTAGAGGAAATTAATTGAAAAAGATCCCAAAAGACAACCCAGTACAGTAGCTGCGTGGACATTTATGGAGGCGTCTGGATGCGGTGGGTTTTCTGTAGGTTCTGAGGCGCCGGAGACGCCTTTTTTTTATGTCTGGGTGTGTGCACGTGTGTTGTCATCCACTGTTGAGGGGGTAGAGTGTTCCTGATATGAAGGTCTGAGCAACCGGTAAAACGATCCCCGTACGATCCCCACAAAAATTTGTGCAACTTCACGGTAGTCTACCCCGAAACCCTTAACCATTGCGGCCCCTATATGATAGGTGGAACCCTAAGGGTGCATGTACCCAAAATTGTGTAGTTGTACTTTGGCCCCAAAGCACCTGTATAGGGACTACATTGAGGCCAAAGTATATACTATTTGGGTACATGGACCCTTAGGGGAAGATAGACCCTAAACCCTAAACCCTAAATCCTAAACCCTAAACCAGAACCCTAAACCAGGTCCCGGCGTGGTGGGGCTCCCGAGCATCCAACCATGCCTCTCGAGGGATCTTTGGCTGAAGCTCAGGATTTGGAGCTAGGCGCTAAAAAAGGGGGAAGGGTTTAGGGTTTAGGGTTTAAGGGTTTAAGGGTTTAAGGGTTTAAGGGTTTAAGGGTTTAGGGTTTAGGGTTTAGGAAAGGATACGGCTGATGATATAAATCCTGCATTACCTTATAAGGACCCTGAACTATGGGAATTCTGGTATATTCCTTATTATGGGTAATGCAGGATTCCAATCATCAGCCGTACCACCATAATACACGATAGTACACTGTATGGGGACGATAGCAGGTACTACACGGTACGTGTCTTCACACTCCCGTGTGTATGGCTCTCTGGTTTTGGGCTTTGCAAGCGGCCTTGGCTCCCGAGGTTGGAGGGAATTTGAGAGGTGTGGGGGTTTCAGGATAGGGTTTAGGGTTTAGGGTCTAGGGTTTAGGGCTTGGGGTTTAGGGTTTAGGGTTTAGGGTTTAGGGTTTAGGGTTTAGGCTTAGGGCTTACCTAGGGTTAGGATTTAGGGTTAGGGGATAGGGCTTCGGACGTAGGGTGTCATGTCTAGGGATGCTCTCCTGCAGCGAAACCTTTCGGAACGGGTTTTCGATAGGGTTTAGGGTTTAGGGTTTAGGGTTTAGGGTTTAGGGTTTAGGGTTTAGGGTTAGAGACATACATCCGTCTAACGCCAAACCCACAGTCAGCCGCCTCGACGTAGTTGCAGAGCTCCTCGTGACCCATCTCATGCCTGCCGGAAGGGTTTAGGGTTTGACGGTTTAGGGTTTGGGGTTTAGGGTTTAGGGTCGAGGGTTTAGGGTTTAGGGTTTAGGGTCTAGGGTTTAGGGTCTGGGGTTTAGGGTTTAGGGTTTGAGGGTTTAGGGTTTAAGTGAATTAGAAGTATTTCTAAGCCTAACGCCCTAGAAACCTGAAACATCAAGCCTCCTCGCTAGTTTACTTGAGTGGGGGCATCTCGCTCTCTGGCCGCTATACCAAAAGCTCAGCAGTCTAGACTTTAGGGTCTTCTTGGACCGCATACAACTTAAATCTTCGTGGTCTTATATACCAGGACATCCTGAGAAGGAAGCCTAAAAAGGCAATTTGGGGGCCTTAATAATTAGAATAGGGTTTTGGGGCCCATTTTTCTATAATTAGAATAAGGAACCACCAAACTAGTATACGTAATTATTTAAGCCCCTACATTAGGTTCTTTCGGGTTGAGGTAGGGTTTCGGGTGTAGGGGCCCGGGTGAAGAGCCTATCACCATGATAAGTGTCGAAGGGACCGGGGCCGGGAGGGCAAGATGGGAGAGGGTTTGGGGTTTAGGGTGCCTTGATAATTAGAATAAGGGGCTGGGGTACATTGTTGTATAGTACATACTTCTACTGGGACTGGGAGTGTAAGGGAATATGACTTGGATGCTTCCGGGCCCTATAATTAGTAGCTTAGCTTGGCGGGCAGACCCCAAACCCTAGACCCTAAACCCTAAACCCCTCAACCCTAAACCCTAAACCCTAAGCCCTAAACGCCCTCAGCCCAACCTAAGCTGCATGAGATGGCACAGTGCTCCTCTGTACAACCAAAGCCCTCCAAACCCGAAAACTCTAAATTCCCGTCAACCCTAAACCCTAAAACAGCAAACCCTAAAAATACCTGAAACCCTGGATTCCAAGGGTTGAGGGTTTAGGGTTCAGGGTTTAGGGTTTAGGGTTTAGGGAACTCCGAGACCCGAAAGCCTAAGACCCTGAACACAAAGGCCCTGAGACCCTCCACCCAAAGACTTCCAACCCACTAGCAAGATCCTTTACTATACCCTAAGGGTCCAGGTACCCAAATAGTACATAAATTGGCCCTAAAGTACCTATATAGGGACTACACTAAGGCCAAAGTACATACTATTTGGGTACATGGACCCTTAGGGATACTGAACTTAGACCCCTAGCAAAAAACATTCGCCTCGGCCCCCGGCCGAAGCCGTCAGAGGTTCCTATTCGGACTTCCTCTAGACCCCACCTCGAATCCCCTCCCCAATGACCACCACCCCCCAAAATGACTAATTTTAGCTGCTTCTTAGGGTTTATAGTAGCCAAAGATTAAAAATCATTTCTAAGTACCCCAAAGTTTAAGGGTACCATTAAAGGGATCCCTTGAAGGTACCTTTGAAGGAGCGCCCTAAAGGATCCCTTCAATTCAAGCCCTTAGAGGATTCCTTCACGGGCTACACATTGCTGAACCCTACGACCCTGCGAAACCTGCAAAACCAAAAGTCTAAGACACTAAACTTTAGATACTCCAAGGCCCCTAAACCCCAAATCCCAAGGCCCAAGCCCCAAACCCTAAACCCCAAAGTGCCTGCACCAGATGGTCCAGTGCTCTGCACCCGGAGGCAACTGGTACGGGAAGCGGTTTCGCTCCAGCAGGACGTCGCGACTGGCCAGGAAGTTAATGTATGGGCCTAAATAAAAACCTATATAAATATAGGGTTTAGGGTTTAGG